TATATACTACTAAAACTCTGAGATCGTTTGTTTGTTTGTTTATTTTCTCAGTCAAAAAATCATTCACACCACCATTCGTGCTCTTTACAAAACTTCTTACTTCACTTTTTTGAAAAATGAAATTGTCTTTCCTTTTACTCCCGATCAACAATCAAATATCTTTTCTTGAATTATGAATAACATGAATGGATTGAAATATTTAATTATCTCAAAATAAACCTTCATTTCGGTACAATATTGAAATTAGCTTGAATTCTTCATAACCTTTGAATAGTGGGTGACCCAACGAATCACGGGTTGTCTAGTTATCTTTAAAAATCAAACATATGTAATGTCTAATACTAAACAGTTTTACTCAGGTTTTTCTATCAATAACCATACTTTTTCTGCATTTCTATTTTTCTCAATCAAAGTAAAAAAAAGAATGGCTCCACAAAAACTGGTCAGTTATTCAAGCACTAAGTTTATGCCCTTAACAAAATGAGAACAGAAACTTTGCACAAATAGTGCTCTTTCATTAAGTACTGTATTTTATTCCTTCAGTAACATTTCTGCTATACATCCTAAACCACTATATATATATATTCAAGGTTTTAGTAAGAGACCCAAAAGCAATAAAAGATGCAAGGTGAAGAAAAAAACAGAACAACTTTTCTGTTAAGAAATGTTTTCAAACATATGGGCGGTTCCATGGAAATATGGTATCATTGAAATCTAACAAAATATTCTTATCAGATGTTAATGTTCATACAAAAATAGTTACTATATACTTTTGAAATGTGCTGGAAACATCAAACAATAACAAAGGCAAAAGCCTTAACTTCACTTAATTCAATACGAGAACCACAACTCTTTAATATATATATGAAACATCTACTGAATGTTTCACAAATATGCACAATTTTTACATATAACAAGATATTACACAATTATTATGAAAGTAAATCAATACATTGTTTTCCATCTTTTGGTACTTTTAATTAATTGTCAAATATTTTATTTTATATTAAAGTGCTAACATATCGTTAAACATTCAGTCCCAGAGTCTTCTATTGTTAAACCTAGGATATTGTAAACTATATATATATACTGACCTCACATTTACAGATGACAAAATCAAGTTGGGAGTCTTCACATTCATCCACTACATATAATTCCTGAGGGTCTGACGTCTCTCCTAATACCGTATCTGACCCTCGGCTATATAGACATGGCTTACTTGGTTAAAAACTCTATCAAAATCAAATCTCTCAATCCTTTCCAAACATAGCACTATAGAAAACATTCTTATACCTGATAACAAATACTTGATCATAAATTTGGAAATAAAATATCTGAGTAATTACTGTATTAATTCAATAAAAATTTCTGTATTTAAAAATTTTCACTTAAAAACACAATATGTCTGGTTGACTATAAAATTAGACGTAATAAAATCCATCCAAGTCATGAAAATGACTAAAGCTTTATCTAAATACAAGAAAGATGAAAATGACAGCACAGCACCATATATGAACCTTACAGTGTGAAAAGTCAAATAAATTCAAAATTTCTTGATAAAAGCTTAAAAAAACAATTTTGTGTAATAATATTTTTGACACCACTTTCAACCTTATGATATATATCTATAAATAAGTTTAAATGTGATTCAATTGATGAAAATGTTTGCCATCTAACTGAATAAATGGCCTTTAAAGATATATAAACTGTGTACAAAATAATAATAGCTTTCAGAAATACAGCTTGGGTCTGAGAAATAAGAAGCAAATTAAGTGACTGTAAAATAAGCATCTCAGATATTCTTGGATGAAAACATATAAAAAATAATTCAGAACAAATTAAAATGTTTCTCACCTAAACATATCAATATTAAAATTATAATTTTTATACAACTACATTTTTAACCTTTTTTTTTATATATATAGAGAAGAAAAAGTGTAGAGTGCTGGGTTTAAAAAAGTGTTGTTGTTGTAAAAAAGGTTAGGGCTAAAAACGTGGTTCAATTATCTTTGAGGTACCAGACTAATAAATTTGAATCTATTGCTGTTTTAAATGAAAAATTAAAGAGATGATTAAAGAAATGGGGGACTCTCATTAAGTACATGGATGGTTATTTGTAGTTGGCAATTTAATGGCTAGTACCAAGGAACATTCTCTTTATTTTTATTGCATGTTGGAGCAAATGATATTGGAAGTTGTAAATAAGAAGAGCTGCTTGAAAAGTATGAAGAACTCCTTCAGAGTTTTAGGGATAGAAGCAGGCCCTTTCAAGAGTGCTCCCTCAAGCTAGAATGAATTACTTTCATAGCAAGGTCCAAGGCTTAAATAAAATATTAACAAGATTATGCTTAGAGGTGAGCTATTTGGACCCAGGAGATAGTTTCAAGAGTAACTATAAATTATATGCTAGAGACGGACTCCACACGAGCAGGTTAGGTAGCAGTATGTTTCGGAAGAATTTCATTAAAGATTGTTCACACAAAAGCTGTATAGTGATGAAAAACTTTGGGAATAAACAAATTTATATAACAACTAAAGTAAAGAGCAGATTGGAAAAAGATTTATGGCATAACAAGTTAAATAATAATTTTACAGATAAGTCTGTCAGATTTTAAAATAAGCTTAATTGGTATTATTCTAATATTACAGGAGTATCAGGAATGAGTTCAGGGCTCAACTTGAAATGGAAGACTTTGATATAATAAGAACTACTAAAATATTTAAACAATAATAGATTAGGAGAATACTGATAATAAGAATTAGCTTGGAATTTGAAATTACAACTTATTTGATAGTGATAGACTTAATTATACACTGTTATGCATTGCATCCTGTTGGGGAATGAAGAGATATTTTAAAACAATGCTAGTCAAGGGGAAGAATCTATATGCTCTTAATACACTCACTGATTTCAAAGGCAGACAGTTTTTTACCCTTTCCAGACTAAAGGGATGTCAATGATATCCCTTGAATTTGTTTAATTCTTGCAGTGGAAATGCTAAATAAAACTATGAAATTTAGTACAAATTTATTAAGTAGTATCTATTATCAGTCTTACCAAACAAAAGTAATATAATTTCATTTAGTATTTTACATCATTTTTAGGTTGTGAAATTTTCAAAATTTGGTTGTGAGACACTGTTTCAAAAAATACTCTCATCTTAGACTTTTTATTTTTTTACTTTTTGATCAGAAAGTTCCATTTTATGTATCCAGTTACAACTTGATTGATATTTGCTTACATATTTATTTTTACAATTGCAGTAATCCCCCCTTCTTTGGGATAGGCAGAAAAATTGTAAAAAGATAAATAAATGAATAATTTATTTACAGGCAAGACTCATCAGAACTATGCAAAAAATGAAAGCTTTTCTTATTTTTCTTTAGAAATTGCACTAAATAAGTGTTGAAAAATGTTAAAATATAAATTCTAAAATATTTTTGAGTTCAAAATTATTGAAATGTATTAAATTTTATACAAAAATGTGAATCAAACATGTGAAAGATACACAATGGATGTGACAGGGTTAAATGGAAGTTGTTATAAGTCATCTGATCACACAGATGTCAATGAGAAAATGTATATTAAATGAGAGTAGGCATAGGTGGTGGAACATATTTGAATTTGGTTGAGGAACCTGTTTTGATATGTTAACTGTGATCACTGACTTCAAAACTGATAAACAGTGACTCTGATTGATAGTTATACACAAGTGTCTATTCCCAATTAAAATGGGCACTTCACTACTGGGTCAAAATGTGGGAGGGGGGGTATATGTGTGCAGTATTCTAAAAGAGAATATTGACTTGTTCGAAAGGGTTCAGCGGAGGATTACTGGGATGATCCCAGGGATTTAAACAGTACAAAATCTTGTAACTTATTTTTCTTAATAAAAGAAGGGTAAAAGGTGATCTTATTGAAGTTTACACAATTCTCTGGGGGATCAATAGTATAAAGGCCCCCAGATTTCTTTGTGCTTTATCCTGAAGTAAAGATTACACAAGTTTAAGATTTGAAAATGATGGGCTAGACTACATTTAACACAGTTTTAGTTTTCTAACTGGGTGATTAACTTATTAAATGAGTTGCCAATTGTGGGTACTTCAAGAGAGTTGATAATTTCCTGAAAAATGAAGGGTGAGTTTAAGTTTTTACTTTTTCTCAAGGATGGATGTGCAGAAACAACCTTTAAGGATTAAACAGTTTTTGTTTTCCATATATCACATTATGTTATTAATTATCCTACTGACAGTAACAACTTACTGAAATCATCTGCACAGAAACATTTCGAATATTTTCGTAGTGCTTACCAGAACCAGTGTGCATGAAACATCTTGGCTCCACTTGGTGATTCCCACATGTAAACAACACGAGCTATGTACACAGGAGTGCTGGGGTCCTCAGGTGCCACTGATACACTGTCACCACATTCAACCTGTTACAAGAAAAAACCTTACAGCAAGAGAGTATACAGAAAATACATATGATATAAGATTTACAAAATAAAATTAGAATAATTACAAACAAATTAATTGTAACTCAAAAGTAACTTACATTTACATTCTTTCAATTTCAAAAAAAAAAAAAAAAAAATATTGCCTAGCACAGTATTTCAATGTGTACAAATTGAAATTTATTTCACCAGTATTACATCCAAATACACTTACTATCTCATTTGTTAAGAATTCCTCCCTTATAAGATCAAATAAAAAATTGGGAACCTTCTTTTATTTGAAATGTGATTTCATGCATTTTGTTCAAAAGAGAATTTTTTAAATAGTGGTGTAAACAAACTGAGATTTAAATCAGAAGATTTTATATTTCTTTCAATAAATAAGCTATACTGACATATTATTAATACTTCATAGAATATTTAAGTAAAACAAAAACTGAAAGGTTTTTAATTGTTTTTTATTTCAGATATTCATGCAAAGCTACAACAAGGGCTATCAGTGCTCTACTTTTGACAGACAGGAAAGAAGGTAACTATTCAACAGCATGCACTGCCAACTCTTAGGCTACTCTAACTGAAGAGTGGGATTTGATTATCACTCTTATATCATACCCACAGTCACAAATCATATGGCAAAAACAAAAATTCCAATAAACAGGTTGATAAACTTAATGTTTTATATACATTAACACAGGATATCTCCTACAACCAAAAGAATTTCAGTGACAGGGTTAAGATGGCAATTTATCTGATTTTGGTGAAACCTATATAGAATGTAGCAGATGATATGATGATTACAATTAGTTTCCACATCACACAAAAACTGGTTGAGTTATAACTCACCACATCATCAGCAAAAACCCATAGTTAATAACAGTACTTGTTGATGTGTAACTGATAGTTCCACTACATAAGCCTTCTTCTCCAGTCGTTGCATCTGTTTTTAGAACCAGAGTTCAACAGATCTTCAGCATACTGTTCCAAGCCCTGCTGACCATGGTGGGACTGGAACTTTACTACTCTTTGGTGTATCATCATCAATCACCATTATTTTCTCCATTAACTGTCTGTGCAATGTTCCAAGATATTTTATTTACAACCTGTGCAGCTGCTGTGGGTGTGATCAGGAAGGAGTTTTTAACAGTTATTGTGGGGCAGAATCCATCTATCAAACCTAAAGATACTACGATGGCACTCAAAAATAGGTTTGGTGCTAAAAAGGAGAGCAGCGATAGCAGTAGTAGCCTTCTGCTAGATCAGAAGGTCAATGATAATCAATTTCTGTGTGTGTGACCATTGCAGTCACTCCAAAACCTTATGTTGCTTTAACTGCTCATAACTCCTGATTGAAATACATTACCACTATATTGATTTGATATTTGGATACATCATATTTCAGATTTTCCAACAGTTTAGACAACAGCTGGAATTTTTCTTTTCCTTGCCCTGCCACCCAAACCTAGGTTTATATCAAAAGACGATATAAATGACCTAAGATATTGTTATGAAATGCAGTAATCACTTTCCAAACAGTTAAAAAAAAAAGAGATAAAACAATTTTTTCTCTACAATAGTCTTGATACAATAAAGTTATCATGTAAAGGGGGAAGAATTACGGAACATGTTAACCACCATCCCGCACTCAGTTCCTTGTAGTTTATTGATTTAGGGATTTGGGTACTATTAAAATATGTTCACAATCATGTGATGACCACCATTTATAAGCCTGCAACCATCTTCTTAACCATTCTCCTCCTGGTTGAGGGAGAGATGCTGTGTTAAAAAATATGCTTTAAATTACAGTTAATATGAACAAAATCAAATACTCACAAAAAAGAAAACTTTACAAGAATGAAGCTAAGCTTATATACAGCTTAATTAAGTCAATAAATACAAAACACAATACAGTTCAACAAATATAATGCACACAGTAGTACATTTCTTAAAACTCAATTTGGTTAGCTTTTTTACATTAATTATATAACAAGTTTCTGCCTTGAAGAGCAATTGATATTTTTCATGAAAAAAGAACGTATACATACATATAAAAGAATTGATAAAACAGGCTTTGATGTCAGTAAAGTTTATTCTTCTCAGTAGAGTACTTCTCCCTTGAGTATTTTTCAAAGTCAAACAACCCTACGTAATCATTTCTTTAAGTTATGTCTGAGTGGAAGTTTTATATATATATATATATACTTTTGTTATACATTCATGGACATATAAAATGTTTGATTATGTATGTCAGTAGTGCATGAAATACTACTCCAGTCTGTTAAAACACAAAAAATCCCACCTCAAGTATTTTATGACTTACTTGAAAGATGCCATATGCATCTGACAAACAGTTATATTTACTTCCATTGCATAAACACAAATAATAGAATAAAAACACTTACATATCATCATTTATCTTTACAGCCTTGTAGTACTTATTTCCATTTTCTATCTGATGTGGCTTGTCAACCCAAGTAATCACTGTCTAAAAAATTAAATAAATTACACAATTGGGAAGAAGAGGTTATAATTAGATACCTCAGTTCAAACAAAATGAATAAAAAAACTTCAACAAGTTCACTATGACAGAAATAACTAGTTACAGTGTTGTCAGATCATTCTGTTAATCTCATTGCAATAAACAATCTTTAAAATACTAATGTGAAGATCAGACAATGTTTAGTCTTTGTAACACAATGTAACACAAGAGGTGATATGTGGATATTTTTAACAGTTCTTGTCATTTGTTTAATAAAATGATTCATATTACTTTGAAATGAAATAATATGAGTATATTTTTGAGTCATCAGCTCAAACACACTTGATATAAAACAAACACCAAACTTAACTTAGACACTAACCACCTTGTTGTTTTTACACTTTCATTCCACCTTCTACCAACACAAACCATTATGTTAACAGTTTAGTCCACTTTTATGCTACCTTGTACCAACATGAACCATTAATTTAAGTCTAATACATTTCTATGCCACTTTGTACACATACAAACCATTATGTTAATAGTTTAGCCTACTTCTATGCTACCTTGTACCAACATAAACCATTATGATATTTTATTTATTTATATTCCACTTTCTACCTTCAAGAACCCTATATTAACAGTTTAGTCCATTTCTATGCCCCTTGTACCAACATGAACCAATGTTAATAGTTTAGTCCACTTTTATGCCACCTTGTACCAAAATCAGGGTTCATACACCTCAGGTGATTTAGATTTCCAAGGCTTTTCCAAAACTTTCCATAGCCCTCATTAACTGCTAATTCTCTATATGTTATGCAAAAGTATATACATGTATGACTACATGTGAAACACAATGACAGGACATAGATTAACAATTCTTTAACTTTTCCACCATCTTTGCAATTTCTTCATGCAAACTTTTTAATTGTAAAGACTTTTGCTGTTTTCCTGAGATTATTTGATTTTGCCAAAATCAGTCATATTGCCTTGTTTTTTAACCTTGTAAGCAAGATCATCAGAAGCCTTAATTAAGGATGCTATATCTTATTCAAATCTTTAGCATTTAGCCTTAAGTTTTGCAATATCCTCAAGGATAAGTTTCCTTTTCTGTGTCTTTTCATTTAGTTCAGTCATCTCCCTCTGTTGCTCGAGGTATTGGTTATATTTCTGTCTAAAACTTTGAGCAGCAGTAAGGAACCTCAAGAATTCCTCCAGCTGACTGCACAAAATCATAGATTAAGCACTGACCAACAAGGGAGACATCCTTCATCTTTTGAAGCATTAACCCTTCATTCACAGAAAAGCCCCTTTGAACAGCTGCTTGGCCATGAGAAATTATCAAAAAGAGTTTGACAACACACCATAAAGACTCTTGTCTATGAAGGAAACTTTTAAATTAAAATAAAATGGATAATGTATTAGCAATTTATTAACGTTGTTGTGAAAAGTTCATGAGGTGTTATCATAGGTACAAAAGGTAGGTTTCAAAACTTAATATTTTAACTTTAAACCACAATCTGACACCATTTTTAGTAATTGCTCACAAAATGTAATGACATAGTGACCAATCTAGATTTTTACATAAATAACATGGAAAACCATTTATTATTGTTTTTTCTGCATTTACTTTTTCATTGTTTCCAGACATAATATTCAAATCTTTAAAAAAAAATGCATTTTAATGTAATAATAATATTAATAATATATTTAATAAATGCATTCATGTTCATTAACTTTCAATGAATGAAGGATGTATAGAAGAAAAATAATTTATCTATAGATTTAAACTTTCTTATTAATCTTAAATTCACAGACAATGATTTATAAGCACAACAAAGTGGTTTTATTTTTGGGGAACAGACTATATGTTTCAACACAACAGCAGTCTGTATTCTTCCTGAAGACAACAGACCTATGATCTGTTGAAGTATGTAGAATATTCCCCCAAAATAAAAACACTACGTTACATTTATAAACTACTGTTTGAAAATTTACGATATCAGAATGATGTGCTTCCATATATTTTTCTTATTATTATTCGTAATATTAATCAATATTAATATATTAATAATAATTAATTATATATATTAATTTACAACTCTATATTTTTGTAACAGTATTTTTAATGTATATAATAATAAAAATTAATACAACTACTGAAACACTATTAAATTAAAAACTCTAGTTTTGAAATCAGCTCAACTCTGATAAACAGCAAAGTAGAAAATGATTCTTCAAAATAGCTGTAAAACTTTTAGATAAAGAATAAATTTTATTTAGTAATTTTATATAAAACAAAACTATCACACAATTATTAAATACTATGTCACAAAATAAACTAAATAATAACACTTACACTAAACAGTCATGTATATCCAACATTTATGGGGTAGTTTAATACTATATTTAGTTCATTTTAATACAATTTATATGTTTCAGTAAGTAATATATTACAACTGATGGCAATATATACCAAAGAAGTTAGACACAGCATTATTGTCGTAGTTATAGCAACTACAGATATAACTAGAAGTGATTAGTATTTCCATTTTGAAATGGAAAAAATCAGGAAGTATTAGTGACACCCTTCCAGAAGTGTTCATTCTAAGCTGCACATCAAAAACAACAGGCCACTCACAAATTAGTCAGTTGGTAATACTTTCATGTGAAAGATGTAGGCCTAAAATTTGAACAATATCATGTCCACATTTATGGCAGAAGTACAGGTGCTAACAACCACCCAAATCAGCTTTCAAATAGGAATGGCTTTTGAAAATTAAAACTATCTATGGACATAAAAGCAGTTCTCAGAGTTTGTAGTCAACTAGAACAAAGAAAAATTACAGGAAACAGTGCCCTATGGTCCAGAACAGGGTAAACTGTAGAAGCTAAAGTTTGTGTTATAAATTTGTGACTGATTTAGAACAAATTAATAACCAGGAAAAGTTAAAATTAATCAGTCCTATCACATAAATTTGTGACAGAAATGTCTCACTTCTGTGAAATTCAAATGTTAAGGTAATGTATGGTTAATTTGTAATCTAAAAAAACAACATTCTTACGGGTTGTTTTATTTCTTTAACTATGTGTCTTACTTAAAACAGACCATAAGAATAACATTCTATTAACTTCAATCTAACTACCTCTAAGTAGTCTCAAACATGTGATGCATATCCAAAATAAATCTAAAAATTTAATACACCTATGAAAACAATTAGGAAGAAATTTGTACCAAACAGGTTCTCCCCTCCCTCACAATTAGTAACTTTAGAAAACAAACAAATTCAATCTCTATACAGATTTTGTTTGGTGTTTTATAGTACTGAGAAGTCATTGAAACTGAAATGAAGGATAAAAATCTTACATTGCCATTTTCGTGTTCAACTAGTTCAAAAACTCCAGCAGGTGGAGCTGAAACTACCAAGAACATGAACAAAAAGCTTGAAATTATGAAAGTTTTAACTAATCCAAACTTGTCATAAGTAATAACTAAAGTTGTATTTATCTCTTAATTATTTAAGTTTAAACAAAACTGTAGTTCTCAATATCTGTTTTTAAATACTTTGAACAATTGGAATATTTATAATACAGTTACCTCCAAGAAAATTTCACTGAGTAAGGGCATCACTATCTAAGCAGTTAAACTTCAGAATACAAACATTACTTTTAATTATACCTTTTGTTTCTTTGTTTGATGTTTCTTCATAGTTTTCACAGATGTTTCTTTCGCTTTCTGAAAACCAAAATTGGATCTGGTTAGTCAACTTTAATATAATTAAAACAAACTAATTTCATAAATTGAACTTAAAAACAAATATTCACTCCAACCATTAAAGATTAAATATAAAATCACCCTGTCCATATCGTCTTCCATTTCCTCATTCTGGGCATCATCATCTTCTGCTTCTTGAACTGCCATATTTGGACACCTGAAAATAATATTGTAACTTAAAAAAACTTTAAAAATTTGACTCAACTTAGCAAACTAGTTTTTAAAACAATTTAGTCAATTTTTTTTAAATTATTAATCCAAACATTTCATCTTATATATCCAGTCAGTTCCAACTTGTTTATTCTTCATTACCATATTTCTTTCAATACTTTCTCTGATAGAAGCAGTCATCATTTTAAGACATAAGTCAGAAAATAAATGGTAAAAACTGACAAAGATTTATTGGTGATCTTGGACCTAACCTTTCAAAATGGCATTATCGTTACCTTTAACAGATTAAGTTTAGTAATTTTTGACAATATCTAATAAATATAGCTTCTTTTCAATAAATAATAAATTATTTGATTTGTATGTGTTGTTTTATAAAGTGTTCAGACATGCTAACAACGTTTTTATAACCATCTGCAAAAAAAATCGTTTTTTAACACCTCATGATAAAACATAAATAACTATGCTACTGTTTCTGTTGATCTCAATGGATTTTGTCACATATAAAGGACTGTTTAATATAGGTAGTATTATTAATTTATTTATTTTGTGTTTGTAATTCATTGATGTTGAGACTATCAAATAGTGTGGAGATTACAATCACACTATATAACCATGTCAAATTTTGATAAATGGATAAAAAGAAGAGAGCGTCTCTGGGTTAAAAGACAGTGAACTACGTGAGTTTGTTTAACAAGAACAAGAACTAGAGAGAGAAGAGCAACAAAATAGAAGAGAGGAAGAAAGATTGAAAGGAGAAAGAGAGAGAGAGGAGAGACTGCAAATAGAGAGAATAAGAGCACAAATTAAGAAAGAAGAATAAGAGAGAGAGAAAGGAGACAGTAGAAATAGAGAGAACATGAAAACAAATTGAGATTGCAAAGCTCACCCAATCGAGGAAAGAAAGACCCAAGAATGACAACAGAGTCAGGGCCAGCCGACCCAAGCTGCCCAAATCTGATGAACAGAAAGATGAGATGGATGCTTTCCTGGAGAGATATGAAAGAATTGCCCAAAGTCAAAACTGGGACAAAGATGACTAAGCAGTCTGTCTCAGGATACTTCTAACAGTAAAAGGCCGACAAGTATAGGTAAGCATGACGTCAGAAGATGCCATGGACAATCACAAATTAAAAGTGGCTTCACTGAAACAATATGAACTTAATGAAGAAAGTTTCCGCTGGAAGTCCAGAGTAGTCAAACATGACACTGCAGAAACTATACTTATCAGTACTTGGCAGCTCTTTACCACCCCGTACAATCCTAGATGTAATGGACTTTGTGAGAGAGTCAATGGAATTATAAACAGCATGCTAAAGAAGATGTGCCAAGAAAGACTGTGTAACTGGGACAGGTACATGAATGCCAGACTTCAACAAATCATTCATTGTTCAGGCTGATGCTTCAGACATTGGAATTGGGACAGTATTCTTACAAGAACATGTAGATGGACTTTCCAGTAATATATACAAGTAAAAAGCTGTTAAGTAATGAGAAGAACTACCCTGTGATTGAACAAGAGTGTCTGGCCATCATATTTGCCATTCAGAAGTTCCAGAACTATATATACGAAAAGAAGTTCATCATCCAGACAGACCATCAACCACTTGCATACATTCAGAGGTGCAAAACTGACAGTGCAAGGATCATGAGTGGGCATTGTACCTTCAGAACTACAAGTTCTGCATTGAAGTCATCAAGGGGACTGCAAATGTTGGTGAGCTGAAAACAGTCTTTGTATATAATGAAAAAAAAATATATCATGAATGTTTCTCTTGAAGAGGGTTATTGTCAGATATAAAAGACTGTTTAGTGTAGGTAGTATTATTAATTAATTTATTTTGTTTGTAATTCATTGATGTCGAGGCTACCGAACGTTGTGTTTGCAATCCATCGATGTCGAGGCTATAGAGATTTCTAGAAGACCTAAGTGATAGATGTATAAATAGCTGTGACCAGACGAGCAGAGTCAGAGTAAAAGTAAAGTCACGTGAAAGAGAACTTCGGTCAGAGAAAAGTTAGAAAACATAAAGTTAACCGTTAAAGTGAATGGCCTAACGGTTGATATTTTAGATTGAGATTAACAGTTTGAGAAAGATTAGGAGAATTATTTGTCTCATCAAAGGGTGTTCTAAACTAATTGAACCTGCCTGTGTGGACTTTGACAAAAAGCAGATGATTATTGGAAGTACAAAAAGCAGACGATTATTGGAAGTATGGATACAACTGCTGTAACTCATGTAACAGCGTTAGTGAATTATTCAGGTACTGTTGTGATAAAAATAGAGAAAAATAGTTCGACTTGTCAACTGAATTCTAAAGCAGTTGAATTGGCCTAAATGAATTTTTGACAAGAAGAAGAGAACTGTAAAGTGTTTAAGATACAACTATGATCTCCATAACGTAAAGAATTTTGTACATATGTTTAACTTGTTTCAAATATATATATTATTTTAAAAACAAGTCCCAAAATCCCAGACACCTATTGTAAAATAATCCTTAGCCCAACACACCAATATATTTACATTACTATATATATTACTAAAAAGTATATGACAGACCTGAAATTGATATCTAAAAATTACATATTTTTATGTATTTAAGTGAGATACTACTAGAATACTAAATCTGATAATGACTTTTAATCACTGATGTTGTCCAAAATCTTATTGTTAGAAAAGCATGAATTTTCTACAAAATTAGATTTACACCTGGAAAAAAACTACTTTTTCAGACTAACATCGTTACTAATGAGATTGCCTAAAATGTAGGACAAATATGGAAGAACCATTCATTAAAAATTAGTGAAATGCATTGTTTCTATATGATAAAATATACTTTAAAGCTACTATTAGTTTTAACTGTAGACATACAAATGCTACATAGTTTAAACTTCTACAGTCAACAAAACTGATACTGATTTGAAATCTGAAATGTGTGACAGAAATTAGCTGAAATGTTAAGGCAGAATCAAAAGGAGAGTGAATATATTGAGTTTTTTTTACTAGTCCAAGTGCAAATTGATTTTCATGTTAAGATTAAAAATACTTTTCTTCATCTCAAAAATCTCAACTTCCATTTGCATAATCTCTAAAACCTCCTAAATACATTTCAAAGTTTTTTGTTTTTTTTCCAGGAAAACTTTATATTTTATCTGTTATTTTCTCTACTCTAATTCAATATGAGGTTGGTCAATTTCACATCCTGTGTCTTTTATGAGTTATTAATCTTTACAACTGCAAATGCTGAATTGTCAGTATACTGCTAACTGGCTGGAAAGCATTAAATGCCAGTCTAAAGTTATTCTTATTTTAGCTCCTAATACCCACATATCCTACCTTCTTTTTGAACAAGCTTGTTTACTGCGGCTACTTCCACCAAATTTCAACATGTCTTTACAAGCAATACATTTTCCACAGTCAGGCTGCTGACAAGCCTGTAAATATTTTGGTCAAAACAAAAAGCCCTGAAGTACCAAAGGTTTATTAAGCTCAACTATAAGAACAAATAAAATACTTTGATTGATAAACATAAACAGTAATAAAGGTTTATACAGTTACCATATCAACACATAGACAAGCAGAATCTTGAACTATAATTTAATGCCAGTCTACCAAAAAGTGTCACTACACTGTTTTTAACAACCTACCAAGTTTCATTTGTCACATTTTACTATAGAAAAAAAAAATGGTACTACACTAAGTATATTGCCTTGTTAAGACTTAACATAAAGTTTGTATGCTTTGAAATACACTCACTTCACAGACACCACATCTTTTACGTCGAACTGTAGCACCTTTATTATTATTATCTTTCTGTAGTTGCTCTTGAAAGAAGTGCTCAAACACAGCATGTACCAGGGGTGTTGTTGTAGCAAGTGAAAATGATGGCCTTTTTACCTTTATCTCTCGTTCAGCACGTCTCAAAGCTCGTCTGTCAAGAAATAATGCATTGTATATTCAGGCTTTTGCTCCTAAAGATTTTTACATGGAACAATTTTAACTTAAAATCATTTAAAGAATTGTAAATTATAATTTATCAGTGGAAGTCAAAAGAAGTTTTGGACCTACTTTAAAGAAAAATATTTTTTACCAATGAAAAATTTACATAAAGTCAAGATATTCTTTTATAAATGATTTAGACAAAGTTTTCATGAAGAAAAAATTGAGGAGAAAGTCTTGGAAGACTAATCTGGAAAACCTACTTTGTCCTGAACTCTCACTCTGAACTAGGCAGACAGTTGCTGCCCGTATCAACATTGTTCAAAGTCAGGATATGTAACTTATGTTCTCTGTTACATAGCATATAGAAATATGCATACTGCAGAAACTAAATATTTCTGATTCAAATTAAATTGTTATATAAAAAATACAAAAATAACCCCAATTCCATTTTGCAAGAATTTGTTAAAGTACTTCAACATTGTAACACTTGATTTAGAATATAATTTTTTTTTTATTTCTTTCATCAAGTTTGAAAAAAACCAACAGATTTAATTATTTTAGACATTTAATTACCTTGAGAAATATAATGAAAACACAAAGGATTAATGGTCACATAACATAACAAAAATGAAGTGTAAATTTAGCTATATGTTTACACACAATTGAATATTTTGATACCAAAGAATAGGTAACCATAATGTAAAAAAAAACTATTCCATAAAACACATCCTTCTAGATTTGGAAAAAATATATCATAAATTAAGTTCCGTCATAACTAATTCAGTTAGTTACAGTTCTTCACCATTCAAGTTTTTTAAAGTAGTATTATCTTACTTTCCTTTAAAGATTAAAAATATTAATAAAATCAATTCAAAAACATGTTTATAATTTTATTTTTAGACACTTAAAATGGTGACTATCCAGAACATATCAATAAAATGAATCTGAGGAAACAAAGGTTTAAGTTCATTCTTGCAAATAAAGGTATTCAAAAAAAAACCCTTAGCACCAATGCACTAGAATTAAGTGGCATATTCTGCAACTTGATGCTAATCATTGAAGCACATATTAATTCATTTTGTAGTTTTGGGTAGCTCTTATTATAGTCATTTATTTAAGGGAAACTTTACATCAGCAGTTAAAAACATTAGCAAAATTAATCCCATATATTCTGTAAAATTGGAATGTGTATTCTAAATAATTTCTATAAAAATTAGCAGGACAACGTGTTTACTTTGATACAGGACTGCTACACTGAAATCTCACTGGATATAAAATTACAAAGAGCAGGTGAGAATTTGCCATCAAACCTTTTATAGTTCACAACACTAAGTCAAATTTCACAATTTCTAACCACACTAATGAGCTCATCTGTCTAGTGCATATCCTTCAAAAATACAATCTGGACACAATGTATAATGTTTTGAATGTATATAATGAAGAGGGTGCTTTAGAGAAAATCTTAAAGACCTTGAAAATCATGTAATATTCTTCCAATGAGCTTAATTACTTCAATTATCCTTGGCATTATTTGTAATAATTTCCACCATATTTTTACTATAAAAACTTTCTAACAAATTAACACAAATAATATTTCCAAACAACACACATATATAAATGAAAGCTACTGCCTTATTTTTTAACAAACTATAGGATTTCAAAATATTATAACTCAATTACTCACCGTAAAAACACAACTGAGAACCCTTAGAAACAATAAATCACTTGATATGCATGTAATTATAAGTTACATTAAAATATTACCAATGACAGAATCAGCTATATTTTAAACTCCTATTCTAATCTAATTCATACATGAAATAAATCAACTTTAATTTTAAGGTAAAAGTTTCACCTACCGCTTTCCAAGAGTGACACCAGCCAACTTAATCAGGGCTCTCATACAAGGTGAAGCTATTATAAGAAACTCATCGTCTGCAGCAGCAGAATCATAACTCTGAATCTGATCTACTACAAACTGAGCATGTCTTAAGAGAGATTCTTCTGTGAATGATGTCAATCCTTGAGGTGGCACAGTGGTCTGAGAAGAATAAACAATAAAAATATGACATTTTTACACCTTAACCTTTTGATAAAATAATAAAATCTACGATAAATGTGTCTGGCAAAAAAAAACAACTGAATATTGCATCAGTATCTGAAAATGCTAGAAACAACAACCGAGTTGATATTAACTTTACTAAACCTATTTTACTTTAATTTCAGTAAAACTTTTATAATAAAATACTCTGATTTTCACAGGAAAATTCACAAGCTTTATGTCTAATAATTAAATTAAAATCACAAGCATGAAATAAACTTAATGTTTTGCTTAATGTATCAACCATTTTATGAAAATTAAATATCACATTAGGTGACTTTAAGATGAGACCTAAGATTGTAATGCTGAGAAAGAATGCTCAAGTATTCAACACTTTATTTATTGACTTAAGTTGGTCAATTCTCTATGCTACAAATATGAAAATATATTTTTTTTGTACACCAAGACATTTAAAATATATCATAATTTATAAATGAATAGATAAAAATCATTTCAAACATTTCAACTTTTCCACTTTGCTATTACAGCTATATTATGTTAATAAATGATTGCATGTTATTGCCTGAAAGGTAATATTTTAAAATTTAACAAATACTGATAGAATAACCAGGCCTTTTAGAATGTCAACAAAATAAGTTTAAACCTTGTAGGTGTCTTGGCATATTTTCTCAAATACTGCTTCAGAAAGTTATTAACAATATATCTGATTAATCCATACTAGCTTTCCTACAGATTTAAAGGGGTTGTTAATAAAGAAAATTCAAAAGGATTAGAAATTAGTGTTTCACTACTGTTTCCTTTCTAATAGTTTGCTCTTTTGACTTTTCTGATAAACATTTAATGAACTTCTAAATAAAATATACATCTAATTTATTGAATATGCAATGTTGTTTAAAAAATTTTATTTAATACTAAACAAAGTACAAAACTCTCAGATGTTGCATAAGCTAATCAATAACTAAAAGAACTTTAATCAAAAAATACCTCAGTGAAAATAATTAAATATTTTTAGTTATGAAAACATACATGTATTTTAAGTTTTTAAAAAATACAGTTTCAGATAGTACTCAAAAGATGAATTGTATAATATAATTATAAAACAAAGTTAATACTTGTAAATATACAAACTCTCTGATTTCACTGCAATTATTTAACAGTTATCTATAACACCTGTGCAACATATACACAGACATGTATAAGTACACATCAATTTAAAACGCTACACACTCAGAAATGTCTAACAGCTAGATTAATTACAATAAAGTATTTAAGGTAATCATTTTGACATTTAAGACATTAGTCTGATGTTACAACTAAAAGATAATTCTAGATTCTAGACTAAAGCCTAGATTTTATTAGAATATCAAACTAAGCTTTTACTCTAAAAATTTCGAACAAAAGACTACACTTTCAAATTCTTTTACTCTAATTTTATTGGTTATTCGAGTGGCTTAAAAATGGCACTTTTTCATAAGTTCAATCCTTTCTTGGACTTTTAAGCTCAAAACAATCCTCTATGAAGCTTTAAATAGTCACAAAACCTTTGATTATAAAACATGTAGGGAAACTGTAAACTAAATCACACAAAATCCAAATAAAATTTCATGGTGAACATTTGCACAAAAAATATTGAAAAACTAGGAACAAACAAAAATTAACTTCTGACTGTAGACCTATCTATTAAAACAAAATGCAGTATATAAAAGGACACTTTTTTCCTGTTAAGCATAAAGTTACACAATCAACTATCTCTGCTCTGGCCACCACAGGTATCAAAACCCAATTTTTAGCATTATAAACTTTCAGACTTGCCACTCGGACACTGAGGAGTATTAGTAGAACAGTAATATTATAGTAAACTAATCTACCTGAATTCTATTCAGCAAATCTTCATATGTTGCTTCAGGGTTGTTAACAAGAAATTCAGTAACTGTCTTACTAATATGAATCTTTTCTTTCATGGCATCCATAAATGGTTTATAACTCTCACTAGGTTCCATCAGAATGTAGTCAGCAAATGCTATAATAAGATAAGCATATTTTTCCAAGTTTTTAAAATAGGATATAAAACCCTTATGATTACTTGAAAATAATTTAGAAAATTAAAATTATATACACTTACAATATCAGTTACACAAAACTGACATCACAGTTAATAAAAACTTATTACACTACTTTGCAACTTTTCTAACCCAAAGAAACGTTTTTATAATAATAATAATAATATACACACACAAGGAATATGTAGAAACAATGGTATGATATAAATACAACAAGTGGATCAGTGAGCATTAATTGATTAAGTTCAAAAACAGAATAATTATTCAGTTAGTAACAAAAGATACTTCATTTTTTAGTTACTCGGTGTGTTACATATTTATCAATCAAAGCTATGTAAGTTAGGCATATATACCATTAGTTTCAGGATATTTCTACTGAAACATTCTACTTGAAGTTAGGCTTACAAGAGAATGTGGCTCGAACAGATGTATATTGAAGAAATAAATTAACTTAGTATCAATACCTGGACTGAACTGAGCATTACTTTTTATCAAGTAATACTAAAGAATCAGCCAACAACAGGACACATTACAATAGTAGTTAATATAACATACGAATTACTTCAAACATCACAGGCTTATGTGTGATTTCTTTAAAAATTCTAACAGTTTCATGTGAAATACATTTAAAGAAAGGTACTTTTGAGTTTTTATATACAAATGAGCCAATGTAAATTTATGTTCTCCAGCAATAGAAATGAGAGTAAAAGACTAAAATTATCTCAATACAGACATTTTTCTATCTACTATTATAATTACTGCAAATTTGTACCAAAACATAAACAAACTTATCAACTAAGAAAATAAATGTGCTACTCCAACAAACAAGTTACAAATATTAAAGATCAAATATTTAAGCTTATTACCTTTGACTTTAGATAAAGTAAATAACAAAACTTTATCATAGACTTATTTGAACTTGTCAGAAACCGCATTTTGTAGTACAAGAACTAAAAAGTACCAAAACCAATGTAAAAGACTATAAAACTTGGAGAAATTCCTAATAGAAAATATGTTATTGTTTTTTTTTAACCCAAAGGAGGAATTCCAACTCGAAACATGGGCCCAATTAATGAGTGGTGGACTGCTGGATTTGATGGAGGAGAGAGAGCATTGATTGGATTTTCTACAGGTAGAATAATCTCTTATTTGTAAATAATAAGTTGTTCCTGTGATTTATTTTATTTTTTTATAATATTATAGTTATATTGATCCTATTGGAATTTTGTCACCTGTTTGACTTTATTATTCAACAGATTATATGAGTTTTATAAACTGCACATAGCAGTTCATAACTGCTATGTTCATTCTGTTCATTTTTTGTTTTAAATAACATTTAGGTGTTGTATAAATTGTTAAAAAAATCACAAGAATTCAGAAAAAATCCACGTTAATCATACTTATATACACAGTAGCTGTTTATGACTTTTTATTTTTTGTGTCACTCGTATGTTATTAAGAACCCTATAACAAATATTTATCAACCCACTAACAACTGGGTGTATATATAGTGTTTAAAATGTGTTTAAAAAGCCACGAGGATTCATGTGGACCCCACTGATAATTCTAATGTTAAGAAAAAGATTCAGTGCAAGATTGTTTGTTTGTTTTTGAATTTCGCGCAAAGCTACACGAGGGCTATCTGCACTAGCCGTCCCTAATTTAGCAGTGTAAGACTAGAGGGAAGGCAGCTAGTCATCACCACCCACCGCCAACACTTAGGCTACTCTTTTACCAACGAATAATGGGATTGACCGTCACATTATATTGCCCCCACGGCTGAAAGGGCGAGCATGTTTGGTGTGACGGGGATTCGAACCCGCGACCCACAGACTGCGAGTCGAGCGCCATAACCACCTAGCCATGCCGGGCCTTTCAGTGCAAGAAAGCAGATAAGTATGTAAATTTTTTGCAGTTCAAGACCAAGTTTAAGAGTCAATCAAATATCCAAAAAATTAAGTCA